TCAAATGAATTAATTCTTACTGGCCTAATTTCTATTGATTTGTTCCCTTTTATGAAATAAAAGGATCTTGCGAAGAAAACTAGTTTGAAATATTTTAAATTTGTGTATGTGTCTGCCAAGTGGGAAAATGAGAATATAATAATAAAACAAAAAAAACATATATATAATAATAATAAAATATAAAAAAAATTAATTTTTTATGCACGTGTTTGTCAGGCGAAAAAACTTGAATAATATAAAAATATAGTGAAATATATAGAGAAAAAAATATATATTGATTTATTGTGTATGTTCTTGGAAATTATGTGAAGATTCTATGATGAATATTGAAGAGAAGCCTAATGCGCCAAACTCAAATACCTCGAATAAGCAATAACGGTTTTCTAAACGATCATGACGAAATGAAACAATTGAACAACAACAAAAACGATTGCGTCAGGATCGAGAAAGGGTGTGTGGGTGTGGGTATTCCTTCTATGTACACCCACACGACACTCACCCACCCTTCTTTAAATTTCTTCTTTTTTGACTTTGATCATTTTGTAGTTCTAAATGAAATTTTGAATTGATTTTTTGTTGTTTTCTAAATTAATACATAAGAAATAAATACATTCAATGAGTCAAAGAACTATGATAAATTGATTTTTGAGAATATTTTACCAAAAAAAAATGCCCACAATAAATTACTGATAATATTCAAAATAATTTTACTATTTTTGTAAAATATCGATATATTTATTTGCTTCAAGCGAACAAGCTAATAACACTACGAAAATAGTTAGATTATTAGTAGAGACTATGAGCGGATTCATTTATTTTCATTATAGGCTCAAATATTCGATCGTAGAATCGATTAGACATAAATTTTAGTGCACTCTTCAATTTTATTCAAAGTACATGATTTAATTCACAGATTAGTCTACACTTGACGCAGTATTTCTCTTTTATGAAAGTATAATCGAAAACATGACGTATACATATGAAATTTTTATGTTCTTCAACAAGAATATCAATTACTAAAATGAGTAACAATCAATACCTTTCCAAAGAATCTATGCCTAATTCTGTTAATTTCCTATCTATTTGGCTATTTAAACTTGAAATCTATGAACTTGTTTCTTATTGAAAAACTTTCATCAGAAATTTGTTGCTCACATATTATGTATCGTTATGCATTCGTTGGAAATTACGATACGCATAAAGATAGAAAATGAATAAGAGAAGGTAGAAGAGGATTGATATTACGCACGAGCAGAACAGAATCAATAGTGTGACGCATTTCTATTACGTAGTCTCATCACATGGTGAGAGAAACGATACTTCCTTTATATACGTAAACAAATTGCAAGTTGGAAAAAATCCAGTCAGTTCCTTTCAGTGAGATATACGTCACATAGCCGATCAAGGAGTGTATATAAAAATATTCACTCATTCTACTAGTCTCATTTTAAGGGGTAAGTGAGTTACATAAAGAAAGGGCAATAATTGCTTGATTCTCTCTTGCTTAGTCATTCTCACATGAGTAAGAATCGATGTTTATTTTTTGCGATGCGAATTCTGTACATTACGACTTCGAAGGCATATATTATCTAGTACTATTTTCAAGAATGAGATTGATTTGAGTAATTCTCGAATATTCTTACTCGAAAATTATGTCTTAAAGAAACGCTCGAGTCTCTGTTTACCATGCATTGAGATTTGTTCGTCTTACGTTTTGCTTGTCAAATACATACTTTTGAACAAAAATATCTCCTATTATTCTCTTAAGTATTTCATCATGATAAAATTCTATTTTTAGAAAATTGATTAGATATTTCTATAACATTCTCAGACAAACTATCGAGGCACTTTTCTAATATATGATTTTATTATGATGATAAAATATTCACAAGAACAATCGAGACTATTTTCTTCTTCTTGAAACATGTATCATAAAATGAACGATGATCCAGGTCTTTCTTAAAAGATCCGAAACAATAGATTCGTTGTCACTGAATTACGTTGATTATTTCTCTGACAAAGTATCGTTTGGCTATCAATTTTTTTCTGAACAGAACTACTTAGTTTGTAATGTAAGAGAATTCATTGAGTCAAAAATTACTCAGAATTTAATGGAACCCACCGATAAAAATAGGACCACGGGTGTCCTAGGCACTGACATATTTTTTCTGTCGTGGAAATTTACAGTTTTTTTTCATTATTGCAATGTTTAAATTCGATTTTTGTCTTATAGAAGTGACTGTTTCATATTTCAATTGAACAGCTACCTTAGTGTTTTTACTATTTATGGCAACACAAATCAGTATTCTGGAAAATACATCGGAAATGATGAATAGAACGAACAACAAAGAAGACATCACTCTGATTTGGTTCGATTCAAAGATGGAATATAATAATCATGCAGAAAAAACAAAGCAACGACTACGTCAAATCAATGATTATGTCGTATGCCACATTGAACTCGAAGCTTGCACCAATTTCATGCGCTCAATTCAAACTGAGAAAGTCTTTCTGGTCTCGTTCATTTCTGATGCACTACAAATATTACCTCATATTGTGACTCTACCTCAAATTGATAGTATCTTTGTCTTTAACTGGGAGAGTATTAATTATGAAAGTTTAATTTTTGAACATTCAAAACTGACTGGGATCTATAATGATTTAGATTTATTATGTTTATCAATTAAAGAACAAATTGACTTTCTTGATCGACATTTAAAAATATTTAGCTTTTTTGATCAAAATGAACATTTAACAAAAGATTTATCAAAACATACTGCTGATCTTCTATGGTTTCAACTTTATCACGATGTTCTCTTTCAGTTACCATACGATGAAGAAGCTAAACAAGAAATGATTGATGTATGTCGTTCGTATTATCGCGACAATATCAAAGAATTAGAAATGATTAACAAATTTGAAAGTGAATATCAATCAGAAGAAGCTCTTCAATGGTATTTGAAAAAATCTTTTCTCTACAGAATCATCAACAAAGCATTTCGAATCAAAGATTTCGATCAACTTTACACATTCCGATATTTTATGAAAGATTTGACTGAAAGTCTCGTTCGAGAACATCAAAAAATATCTATTGTCTATCGAGGCATGAAAATGACAAAGGATCAAATCGAAAAATTCAAAGAGAACGAAGGTAAATTGGTTTCAATCAATGGATTTTTGACAGCAAGTATTCTTTGTTCAACTGCATTGAAACAAACTGATCTCATTTCTGTTCTACTCAAAATTCAATGTAATCTACAACATCTGAACAACAATGTCACTGTTGTTGATTCGTGTGAAGAACAACGAGAAATTCTCTTTGATTCGACTGTCACTTACCGATTGGAAAGTGTAAGAATGGAAGAAGAGATTTGGTTGATTGAAATGAGTGCATCGAATGAAGGACAAACAATCAAAGAAAAATATATCAAAGACTCACGCCGTCAGATGAACGAACTCAGCATCAATATTCTTTTTGGACGATTGATGTGCGACATGGGTCAATGGAATCAATCACAACATTTCTTTGAACATTTATTGGATGACTCGAACAACAACAACGAAGATCTCGCAAAGATTGAACATAGTCTTGGTGAAGTTCTTCAATGGAAAGGAGAATGGAGTGAAGCACGGAAATATTATGATCGTGCTTATGATCGGATAATGAATGTCAAACCAACTCAGATAAACGATTTAGCTCATATACTCTTCAATATTGGTGAGATTCTCTATTTGAACGGAAAGTATGAAGAAGCTCAGGATTATTATAAACAAACATTGGAAATACAAAAAGAAAATTATTCTTTTTCCAACTTCAATAGATCCTGTTTACCAAATAACCAACGAAGCAGTGTGTTGAGCAGTGTTTCCACATCGTGTTGGTCAGCTCCTTCGAATTCAGAACAATTCTTTCAATCGTGTTCTCGATGGCATTGTACTACAGAATATCGACAAAGTTCCCTCCAGCTCTCATCAAAACATACGACAAACAAAACAGAACCCATTGGCGAAACATTGGCTGAAAGACATTTGTTAAAAATATGTCGAAGCATTCACGACGTTGACTGGTTGAAAATGGTCCAGATTAAACTAGGTAATAGTATTCTCATTGCTACTACTCTTCGTAGTTTTGGGAAGATCCTTTCAAAGCAAGAAAAATACGACGAATCCCTTATCTTTCATCAACAAGCACTGGTAATGTTCGAAGAATATTATCAATCTTCTCATATCGATATCGCTGTTAGTCTTATGTACATAGGGAGGGTTCTTACAAATCAAAACAAGTATGATAAAGCCATGGATCTCTGTAAACAAGCAATGTCAATCTATACAAGATATTATCCAACTGGCCATGTATACATTGCTTGGAACCTCGACAGCATCGGTCGCATTTTCCACATCGAAGGTAAACATGATGAATTTCTAAAGATTTATGAACAAGCAATGGCAATGCTACAAAAATGTTATCCATCTGATCATGTGGAGATTGCTTTTAGTCTCAATGCAATAGGAAATGTTCACTATAGGCAAGGAAAATGCCATAAAGCTCTGTTATCGTATGAACAAACATTGGAAATTCTACATAAATATTATTTGTCTGGTCACGACAACATTATTTGTATCCTAAACAATATTGGCCACGTAAAAAATGAACAAGGAACGTATGATGAAGCTCTTGATTTCCATCAACAAGCACTAGCACTTCAACAGAAATATTATCCATATCACTATGCAAGCATCGCTGAGACTCTCAATTACATCTCTAATGTATTACTTTGTCAATCAAAATACAATGAAGCTCTATGCTATTGTCAACGAGCACTAACGTTGCAAGAAAACTATTATCCTTCGGGTCATGTTTCAATGGCTTTTAGTCTCGGCAATTTGGTAACATCTTATATAATGAAGGAAAATACAATGAAGCTATTGATTTTCATCAACGAGCACTAGCGATTGTCGAAAAACACACTTCATATGATTATTCTTCCATTAGTTTTTATATGAACAACATCGGAACTATATTATGTAAACAAGAAAAATATGATGAAGCTCTTGATTATCATCAGCAAGCACTCGAATTACAAGAAAAATATGCATCATGCCATAGTGACATTACTAAGAGACTCAATTACATTGGTAACATTCTCTTTGAAAAGGAAAAATATGATGAAGCCTTGAAGTTTTATCAACGTGTACTCGAAAATCAAGAGAACTATTATCCACATGATCATGTCGACATTGTGACGACTCTCAATAATATTGGCATAACACTTCGTAAACAACAACAATTCGATGAAGCGATTAAATATTATCAAAAAGCGTTAGAAATTCAAGAGAAATATTATCCATCAGGCAGTACTATCATAGCTAATACCGTCAATCGTATTGGTCATGCTTTGTACGACGAAAGAAAGTATGATGCAGCAATTGACTTTTATCGACGAGCACTTTCAATACAAGAATACCTTCATCCTGATGGTCACATCCAGGTTTCTTATACTCTTGGCTTCATTGGTAACACTTTATATGAACAAAAGAAATACGATGAAGCTCTTGAAACTTATCGAAAGACCTTGACTATTCAAGAAAAACATCATAAATGTCCTCATGTCGGCATCGCAAAGAGCCTAAACTCTATGGGTAATGTTCTATATAGTCAGGAGAAATATGATGAAGCGATTGATTTTTATCAACGATCATTAACTATTCGAGAGCAATTACATCCATTTGGTGATGCTGGCATTGCTACTGTTCTTAGCAATATTGGGAATGCTCTGCATGCACAAATAAAGTATGATGAAGCTCTTGACTTCTATCAACGAGCACTAACTGTTCGAGAGAAATTCGGTGCAACTAATCATGTTGGCATAGCTGATAACTTGATAAACGTCGGCAATGTCCTTAGGGATCAGGGAAATTTCGATGAAGCTATTGAATTCCAACAACGAGCATTAACAATCCTAGAAGAAAAGTACTCCTCTTGTCATGAGAAAATTGCGGATAGCTTGAATCGTATCGGTCACATTCACGTTGATCAAAGAAAATACAATTTAGCTGTGGACTGTTATCAACGTGCCATAACAATTCTTGAAAAGTGCTTTCCTTCAGGTCATGTTGATATTGCTGAAAGTCTGCAATGTATCGGTATCACCCTGCATATGGAAGGAAAGCATGATGAAGCCGTCGTTATCTTTCAACGAGCACTGATAATCTACGAGCACTTTTATCCATCAGGTCATGAAAATCTTGCTCAATGTCTAGTTTATATCGCTTATGTATTGAGTAATCAAGAAAAATATGATGAAGCTTTCAATTTATATTATCGAGCACTGACATTCTACAAGAAAGATTCATCCAACCATTTAGATATCACTATTTGTCTGAACAATATAGCTCAAAATTTCAAAGATCAAAGCAAATATGATGAGGCTCTTGACTTTCAACAACAAGCATTGACAGTTCTCAAAAGCAGCTCGCCCAATGATCAATTTAGTATTGCTACTAAGCTCAAGGACATCGGTAGTATCCTGTTTCAGCAAACAAAATATGATGAATCTCTTGATTTTTATCAGCAAGCATTAATCATATTCGAAGAACATAACCCCAATAATCATAATGAAATTGCTGCTTGCCTATCCTGGATCGTTGCTATCCTCGATAGACAGCTCCAGTTCGATCGCGCCATTGAATACTTGAAAAAATGGTTATTGGTTGTAGAAGCTAGTTCACCTTCAAAAGATCTGTCCATCACTAACGTATTTACATGGTTGTCACGGGTACAAAGAAGAAAAGATCAACATGATCTTTCTCTTACATATGAACAGAATTGTTTCTTGATGCGTCTCAAACTGCTACCACCAGATCATGTGGATATTGGCAATAGTTTATCGACTATAGGTGAAATTTACGAAAATCTTCATAAACCTATGTTAGCACTTAATTACTATCAACAAGCATTAGTTATCTACAGACAATGTTTGAGTTCCTGGCATTATAAACTACGAGGTATGGAATTGAATATTGAACGACTTTCGGAAGAACTTGGAATAGAACTCGATGAATCAAATTGAATTTTTAAATGTAATTTTTTCCTATTACATATTATTGTTATCAAAATAAAGTGTTGATAGAAATATCTCGATAAGAATATGTGAGACTATCACATATGCTTGTTTTCTAACGAAACATAAAGTTATTCAGAGCGCATAATTCATTCCTAAGTAATCCAGAAATAAAATCAAATACATTTTTAGCTAGATCAGAAAGAATTGCTTCGTACGATACCTTTTCTAATAAACCTTATAAAAGTAATCATAATTTGTACGAGGATTACAAGTCATTGTTTCAAGAGTGCGCATAGTATATTCAACACATATTCAAAAAATAGCTTTGAATCTATTTAAAGTAAGTCTTTGATGGAAAATATACTAAGTAATCAACATAAAGATTTGTTTCTTTACTTAATAATAATATAATTAATTGGTATTTTTGTTGATATTTCGTCTCGACAATGCTCGAACCATTTCGATATTATATCGTAAATGATATTTCATTCTTGGACAAACAACATATGATGTTTATCTTTCTCTTAACTTTGCTTTGTTAGCAAGAGAAACACCCTGCTCGTCCATCGATCATTTAAAAGTATCTTTATCCATTTGCTATATTTCAATTTGCCATTCATGGCTTTGCACAGTCGAATCTTTACAACTGATAGTAGTTTTTGATGCTCTTTCTAACGAAAGATATATCAAATTTGAATTTTAGATTTTCTTCTTTAAAGATGATTACTATTAAATTTTGGGAAATTCATGAAATACCACCAAAGTTTGTATACATATCAGCAATGAAAGCTTTCAAAAGTTTTATAATCAAAATGAAATCATCTAATCATTATTTCTTCTAACTCGATTGCTGTAACAGCACTTAGCATCGGAGACATCCAAAAGAAGAATGAAACCGAGTAACACCATAGCGAGAAAAAGGTAAGGATGTGGGTACAGATGTCTTTGCTTGCTTCATTAATACATACACGAACACTTACACTTCATATTTTTATACTGATAATATTTTTCTAAAATAATCCAATAATAAAAAACATTAGATTCGATTGCATATTAGTTATAGTATTAAATATTGATCTGTTTTTGTATACATTTGAATATACTTTGTTTATTTTCTTAATTTAATTCTTATTTATCAATATAAATACAAAAATTTATCCAATATGATTGTACGATGCACAGAAGGAATATACTATAATTAGGAATCGTTATCATTCAACTTTGTTCTGATTCAAAAATAGAAACATATTTAGTTCATTGATTAATGCAACAATTCGAATCGATAAGAAACATCTTTGTAAATATTCTCAAAAATTGTTTATGACATGCAAAGATTTGCCAATAATCTTCAGAGACATAATTTTATAAGAGTAATTTATTTTTACTTAGAATTATCTCCGTTAAAATACCATTACTTTTCTTATCATAAATACAAAATTATTATTTTTTTATTGATAATTCATATTCGTAGGGACTGTTTTACTGATGATCTATCTCTAACATATTGTTCGTATTGTGAAACTTGTCAATTTAACAAAATTGAGATATGATTTATAGATTACTTTATCGATGTTTGTGTTAATTCCATATTTGTCTTATATTTCTTCATCGCTCAATGTAGAAAAAATCCATCTAATGATTTATTCGACATTTACCATTATGATTTTCTTCATGGAGCAGCTAACGAGGTAGTCTTTTCATTTTTATTTTCAAAAGACCAATACTTATTTGTTAATAAATTAGATTACTTTTGGACGAGTCTACTTCGTATGTTTTTCACGGGATAATTTTTTTGACAAAGAAAGAACGATCGATTCTTATAGGTTGTATTAAAGTTTTGGTCATAGTCACTAAGGATATTTTGAAAACGATCTTCTATAAAACAACGACCGATCTTCGTCGACAAATTCTTTAGTGTAATAGTTTCTCTCACTAATTTGTCATCTAGAAGTTCGTCAATGATTTTCTTCTTATTATTTAGTGACTGAATTTCATAATTAAAATTTGTAACACTATATGAAAGCTTTTATTTCGATGGATAGACATAAGATGTTGATTAATATTCCTATAATGACCACTCATGTTCAATCAAGTAACTATTAGAAAGAGTAGTACTTCGTCAGTAAATATATGGAGTAATTAGTACATCATTGGTTATTTATGTTACTGCAGTTATTTCTTATATCATCGTTCTATTGAGAAAAGAAGAAAGATCAAAAATAATATTTTAGAATTTCTTTGAATCGATAACGAAGATGCCCATTAGTCAGTAGAACAAATATAAGTGAATCAGTTCCTTATGAACAAATGTAGCAAACTATTTTAAACCTTGACTAATAATTTATTTCTGAGAAATTAAAGTGTGTAACACAATGACATTAGTTTGATCCTAAGTTAAAAATTGCATCATATTGGTCAGATCTACCTTCGCGATAATAAACCTAAAGAAGTTCTGAAAAGTGCAAGAAAGTCTTTTACCATTCACTGACACTATCCATTACGCTATTGTGATTTGAGTAATAGTGCTGTTATTGATGGAAGGGTGTGGGGTGTGGAGTGTGGGTGTAGGTGTGAGTGCGAGTGTGGCTGTGACTGCGGATGTGACTCTCTATCCGCTCACTCCCACATCCACACCCACCACCACACCCCCACACCCACACCCTCCTAGTTTTGTTCATGATTCCATGCATGAAAAGTTAATTGATAATCGACAAGAACAACGAACATGAACATCATCCTCAGTTCAATACTTTTCGACATTGAAAATCTACAATTCAATGAAAACTCTTGTTTATATTCTCAGTCCAGGCTCGATCAATGTACACAATAGTTCTTCTAATCATAGTGACAACTACTCGAAATCGATCAAAAATACAGAGAACAAAATAATACGAAAACTATTTGTGATCATAATTTAAATAGAAGTCAATACAAAATAGGGCATCAATTATGATTGAATTGGATTTGTCGATGAAGATTGATTATTCGAATATGTCGAAGAAAGAAATAACTTGTTATAATCAGCATAACGTCTTTCGAGATCTTCTTTAGTGAGGCCGAACTCAACAAGAGAATATTTATTTCGACCTTGTTTACCTTGAGGATTTTCGAGAAGCCAATTGTGTATAGCTGTTTTCATTTCATTGGAACTAACGATTCGAGATATTGAAGTTGTATATAATAACATGGTAAAATCCAGATGGATAGGCTAATCGATTTGTAAAATGTAGATCGATTTAATTAGAATTTTTCTTTTCAAATAAGAAATCATTGAAATCCTGTGAGGACTTTGGAATTGTGCGGTTATATGCTTTCTTCAGGATTTTATCATTTTGTCAAGAAGAAACAGCAAATCCTTCGAGAATTCTTGTCGAATCTGTCAACAATCGGGAACAAAAATATCAAAGATTTTCGATAAGGATAAATGTTTTCTGGTCGCAGAATCAACTTACAACCTCGAAATCGTGACCATCACGTTTGTGTTGAAGTGAGAAAAAGATTCGATTATTGAATAAATTCAGATTTGAAAATAATCACACATTAAAAGTTCCTTTCAAATAGAGAAATATATTATTCTGATTTTTCAAAAACATTAATATAGATTAGTATGCAGTGGGGCTCGAAAAAAAAAATACTTTGTTCAATTCCATTCAAGTTGATATGATGAAATAGTTGATATTAAAAGAGTTTAAATGTTAATTCTGTCACCGTATGTATATTTATATGTTAAGAAAAAAAGAGTAATATCGCCATTAGAGATGTAAACGATGACTAAGAGAACGAGAGAAAAGTTTACCTTTTTGACACACACTTATCGTTCTGCACTGTGTCGCCGAGGAAAAATACTTTTGTGACTCGCATATTTTGCACTTAACCTATAAGTCAGAAAAGTGCGGTACCTTAAGCACGCAGTGTAGAACGAAAGGAATACTATAAAAAGGAAACCCTCATTCTGCAGTTCATTTTATCTTTAGTAGTAATAGAATTTTTCTGTTCTTTGATAGTTATATATACCTCTGAAAAGCAAAAGCTGCAGTCAATATCTTAGCTCTTTTAACATATGAAAAGGGCACCTTGAGAAAAGTAATTCTACCGATCAATAGCGCTTGGAATTCTCTATCAAACTGTGTATTTTGATTGTATCTTACTTTTATCTCCTGAAAAATTAATTAAGTAGAATAAAGGTTCCCTCATGGTCAGATTCTCAACCAGTGAATTTCTGGCTGTCTTTCCGATTAATATTTCGAATGGATCATGGCCTGCGGAATCATCTTTTGAAAAAGTAAGTAGATATTCTATCGTTGTAGGTTCTTGTACTAGATTCTACACATTTGATAAGGTTCGTTTTAGTGATCTAAGTCGTATCTTCGCGATATCAGCGTATCAAAGTTTTGTTTCTATGGTGATTCAATCCATCATGCAATGCACTAGCAAATTACGTATTGTAGTTCTATTGGAGAAAACTAATTTCTATAGGAATGATAATTTAAGGGGAAAAGGGTCAGAAAATCGACTGGTTGAGAATCTGACCATGAGAGTGCCTTCATTCCACCTGATTAATTTTTCAGGAGATACAAGTAAGATACAATCAAAAGACACAGTTTGATAGAGAATTCCAAGCGCTATCGATTGGTAGCATTATTTTTCTCAAAATATCTTTTTTGTGTGTCAAAAGGGCTGAAATATCGACTACAGCTTTTGCTTTCCAGGTGTATATACATACATTGATAGGATGAATATCTTTATTATTTTAATAAAGATTATTTCGCAGCCCAATCCTAAGTATATTGGAATATAAGTGAGTTGCAGAGCTTTATAAGATATTTCAGAGAGTTTTCACATGACTGGTCGATTACAAATCGTTAAATAAAAAAACAAAAGTGAACTGATCTTTTTAGTTCTCCTGATATTATTTACCTAGGAACACAAAGATCGATGTTGAAATATTTTTTTCTAAATCTAAGGAAATGTTTTGGTATATCTATATGCTGAGGTTCTTTGTGTAC